TGATTCGTCAGATATGGATTCGAGTATCTGAAACACGAGATCTATTTGAACTATGATTCAGACTTCCTATTAAGACCTCGTGCCCGGGTTCCAAAAAAATTTTGAAACCAAGAAGGTTTGATTATTTAAAACCTTCTGGATGACCAAAATAAAAATTCCATCTATTTAGTATGGTTAAAGTTAATTTAAAAAGGTTCTTACTCAGGGAATCCTTGATTACGTTTCAATTTTTTTAATCGTGGTTCTAAATAGGAATCTTAGGTTTTTTTCGATTTATAGGGTCTTAACAAGGTAATTCCTATCCAATCAAATAAACAAAACAAATAAAAAAAGAATCATTCCATAAAAAAAAAGATAGGTAAAGAGAAGCTTCAAAAAGCCCGTCAAAATAAAAATAAAGACAACTGAGCTAACTTGATATGTTTGTATTAGTGCCAAAAAAATCAATAAGAAATAATAGATTTCGCATTTTATTGAATATAATCTATGTGTTGGTCTGGCCGGCGCAATGAGTATTTGGACATTTTTGGTTGAGCTGTACGAGATGAAAGTCTCATATACGGTTCTCAGGGGGGGGAAATTACCCTATCTCAATAAAGTCTATGATTGGTTCGAAGAACGTCTGGAGATTCAGGCGATTGCAGATGATATAACTAGTAAATATGTTCCTCCACATGTCAATATTTTTTATTGTTTAGGGGGAATTACGCTTACGTGTTTTTTAGTACAAGTAGCTACCGGGTTTGCTATGACTTTTTACTATCGTCCGACCCTTACAGAGGCGTTTGCTTCTGTTCAATACATAATGACTGAAGCGAACTTTGGTTGGTTAATCCGATCGGTTCATCGATGGTCAGCAAGTATGATGGTATTGATGATGATTCTGCATGTATTTCGTGTGTATCTGACAGGTGGGTTTAAAAAACCTCGTGAATTGACTTGGGTTACAGGTGTAATTTTAGCTGTATTGACAACATCTTTTGGCGTAACCGGTTATTCGTTACCTCGGGACCAAATAGGTTATTGGGCAGTGAAAATTGTAACAGGTGTACCCGAAGCTATTCCTGTAATAGGATCACCTTTGGTAGAATTTTTACGAGGAAGCGCTAGTGTGGGGCAATCCACCTTGACTCGTTTTTATAGTTTACACACTTTTGTCTTGCCTCTTATTACTGCCGTATTTATGTTAATGCACTTTTCAATGATACGTAAACAGGGTATTTCTGGTCCTTTATAAATCAAAATAGAAATAAAAAGAGATCCTAAATAAAAAAAATTTGTAAGATATGTTATTTCTCACTTGGAGGAGGGGTAATAGTATTTCATTGCTAAAAAAAATCCATTCTTTAAAAGAATAAGAAATGGTTTTTTATATTTATCTTCACCCTTCCTATATTCTTTTTTTTTTACATGAATACACAAATAGGCGAGGGGAATTCTTTGAAGTTGAAGATCAATTTTACGATAAAATGGATTATGGGAGTGTGCGACCTGAACTATTGATTGGTCCATGTAGATATAAGCCTACCACATTTGAATTATCACCACCCAAATGTGTCTTTGTTCCAATTGGCGCATAAGCCTTATGTGAGGGATAAGCTGGTTCCCTTGAAGATAATTTATTCTATGATCATATAAAAATCATGTTATACATGATTAGGCTCCGTAAAATCCAATATTGAATATAAAAAGATCCTAGAAACTTTTTATTTTTATTTAACATTTTAAACGCTAATATAGAATCTGTAAATGGAGTCATTTCCTCTCCATTGGTCCGATCTCGATAATACTATCGGAGTGAAACAAGAGATCTAACGAAGAAAAGAAACTGGACTTTTTTTTAGTAACAAGTAAACCTTTCTGCGTATCTTAAAATATGAAAACTTTTTGAAAATAGTTTCAGATAAATACGCATTCTAAGGTTGGAGACGACCCAAAAAGCACTTGATCCTATCAGAAAATTAAGCCTACTTGGGTCTTGAGTATTGACGCGTAAGCAAATAAGAAAAGAAATTTAATTTTTTGACTAGAGAAGGTTCACTTGATAAAAACAAATTTTTTCTTTTACATTGAACTATTTCTATATCATAGATTATCTTTTGTGTATAAATGAATAAAGACTCTTAACGACTCTAAGATAACCTATAAACTACCTAGCTTTAGAAATGTATTTGTTCATTCATATAATGATTAATTCTTTTTTAATTATTTGTTTGAGTCTTGCTCGAGCTGGATGATTAAAAATGATCATGTCCGGTTCCCTCGGGGGATGGATCTCTAAGACTTCACCTATCCCAATAATAAAAAAACCTGACTTGAATGATCCTGTATTAAGAGCTAAATTGGCAAAAGGTATGGGTCATAATTATTACGGGGAACCCGCATGGCCCAATGATCTTTTATATATTTTTCCAGTAGTTATTCTTGGTACTATTGCATGTAATGTAGGTTTAGCAGTTCTAGAACCCTCAATGATTGGTGAACCCGCAAATCCCTTTGCAACCCCGTTAGAAATATTACCTGAATGGTATTTCTTTCCTGTATTTCAAATACTTCGTACAGTGCCTAATAAAATATTAGGTGTTCTTTTAATGCTTTCAGTACCTACGGGATTATTAACAGTACCTTTTTTAGAGAATGTTAATAAATTCCAAAACCCATTTCGTCGTCCAGTAGCAACCACTGTGTTTTTTATTGGTACCGGAGTTACCTTTTGGTTGGGCATTGGTGCAACATTACCTATTGAAAAATCCCTCACTTTAGGTCTTTTTTAAATTTGTTTTGTGGAGTTTTGATTCAATTTAAAAAAAACCAAAGCTTGTGTATCTAGGGAAGCGTTTCTTGAAAGTTCTTCCTAGATACACGTCAATTCATATTCATGAATGTTTCAATTTATTTTTTTTATTAATTAAACCTAAGTTTATAATCAATACAGTGCAAAATATTTTCCTAGAATCCCCAATATATGTTTTATATCTTCTAGTTGAAAATGTTCTATTTTTAAAAGATCTTCTTGTTTTTGATTAAAAAGATCAAATAATGTAAATATATTTGACTTTTTCAAGCAATTATATATCTTGGGAGGGAATTCTAATTGGTCAATAAAAATTAATTTCAATGAAAGTTTCTTTTTTTTTTTTATAAGTGTAGTCACTTTATTATAAAAGATAAGGGGGGGTAGGGGAATTGTGTGTTTTGCATCTGCTAAATATAAGTTTTCTTCTTCCATCTGGAAAAAAGGAATAAAGAAATCAATCAATATTCGGGCGGATTCATGAAGTGCTTCTTTTGGTGTTAAACTTCCATTTGTCCATATTTCCAAAAAAAGTATCTCTTGTTTTTCATTCCCATAAGAATGAATACTATGATTTGCATTTTGAACCGGCATGAAGAGAGCATCTATAGGATAACTTCCATCGTCAAAGTGAAGGTCCACTTTGTTGAAATATCCGCGATTTCTCTCTATTTTTAATCCAATAAAAAAATCAATAGGTTCCGTCAACCAAGCTATATGTTGTGTGTTATCAACAATTTGTACATGGGGGGGTAATATTATATCTTGGGCAGTTACATGTCGAGGTCCCTTGATACAAATAGACGCATCACAACTTTCATATAGATTGCTCCTCAATACAATTTCTTTCAAATTCATTAAAATCTCATGTACCGATTCTTGAATCCCCCCTATGGTAGAATACTCATGCGAGGCTTTCTCAGATTTTACACGTGTGATACATGTCCCTTCTATTTCTCCCAGCAAAGCTCTTCGCATCGCAATTCCTATTGTATCGGCTTGACCTTTTATAAGTGGAGATAGAATAAAGCGGCCATAAAAAAGGCGTTTACTGTCTATTCTTGATTCAACACATTTCCACTGTAGTGTCCGAGTAGATACTGCTACTTTCTCTCGAACCATAAAAATTTTGATTTAGTATATTAGTGAATCTTCTATTTCTCTTGATATAGGTTCACTTTTGATTTCTACACACGTCGTTTTTTGGGGGGTCTACAGCCATTGTGTGGCATAGGGGTTACATCCCTTATAAAAGTTATAATATACCGCTTCTATGAATAGCTCGTAATACTGCATCTCTTCCGAGACCGGGACCTTTTATAAATACTTCGGCTCGTAGCATACCTCGATTCACTACTTTACGAAGAGCATTTATTACCGCGGTTTGAGCAGCGAAAGGTGTTCCTCTTCTGGTTCCTTTGAATCCAGAAGTACCGGCAGAGGACCAGAAACTACCCGTCCCTGTACATCTGTAACAGTCACTATGGTATTATGGAAACTGGCTTGAACATGAATTACTCCTTTTGGTATTCTACGTGCATTCTGACGTGAACCAATACGTCCCCCCTTCCTACGCGAACTAATTCTCGATATATATTTTACCATTAAGCATTTTGTAAATCTGAGTCAGCGATATACTATATGGATATATCCATTTCACGATTCTTTCATTTCTATAATTGGTTTAGTTACTAAGTTAAGTTGCGAAGTCTTATTATCCCTGTCGTTGTTTATGTCTGGGATTGGAACAAATTACTATAAGTCGTCCCCTTCTCCGTATTAATCGACATCTGTCACAAATTTTACGAACAGAAGCTCTTATTTTCATATTCAGACTCCTTACATTTCTTTTAAATTTACTTTAGAGTTTCGGTTTGATTGGAAGATTATAATAAAAACATTCATTTTTTTTTTTATTTTCAATTTCTAATTTTGTTATTTTTGCCAAAGAGATAGCTAAGTTTAAAAATGACTCCTTTGAATCATTGTTGTGTTGCAAAAGCTTCATCGACTTGTTCTGAAGTTATCCGTCTAAACTAAAAATGAATTTAGCCTATTTTCACAAAAAGAACTTATAATCCAATCTTTATTACTTTATTAGTTGATTATCTAAATCAATAAAAAAGAAAACCAGAACATACTATTTGAAAAGGATTCCTTAATAAAAAAATTCTTGAAAAAAGGAAAGTGATTTTTGTTCTTTCATCCGAAGGACTTTATTCTTTATTTCAGTGACCTAGAAGCAATAAGGAATGGGGATTTCATTAGATTCTAAAATATCCCATTTGGGAATCATAGAAATGGAAAGTTTCTACCTAATTGGCATCTTGAAAATATTACCATATATAAAACAAAAATCTCCCCCCCGATTCTTTGCAGTCGGGCTTCTCGGTCTGTCATTATACCACGTGAAGTAGAAAGAATTACAACCCCCATCCCGCCTAAAATTTTAGGTATTTTTTTAGACTTAGAATACATTCGTAGACCGGGTCGACTTATCCGTTTTAAATTTAGAATATTGCTAAAGGTCCTTTTTTTAGTGTTTATATGTTGCAGAGTTAAAACTAAAAAATTTTTGTTGTTTTCTCGATGATTTCTCACACTTTCAATAAAACCTTCTTTTAAAAGGAGTTTTACAATCTTTTCGTTAATATTACTGGATGGGATTCGAACTGTTCTTTTTCCATCCCTATGAGTATTCCGTATAGAAGTTATTATCTCAGCAATAGTGTCCCTACCCATGATGAACTCTAATTATGGAGCTAAAAATTTTTCTACTCTCAACGTGTTTTTTTTATTGTCTATGGATTATTGTGTTTATCTTACTTTATTTTAATCTTAAAGTTATATACGTGAGACAGATTCTACTCCATTTTTTAATTTTTTTTTATAATACCTCAGGAGCTAATGAAACGATTTTAGTAAAATTTAATTGTCTTAACTCCCGGGGGATTGGACCAAAAATTCTGGTCCCTTTTGGATTTCCTTCTTTATCAATAACAACTGCGGCATTATCATCATATCGTATTATTATCCCGTTGCCACGTTTTAGTTCTTTAGAGGTACGCACGATTACGGCTCTAACTACTTCAGATCTTTGTAGAGGCATGTTAGGTACAGCTTCTTTGATAACAGCAACAATAATGTCACCAATATAAGCATATCGACGATTGCTAGCTCCTATTATTCGAATACACATCAATTTTCGAGCCCCGCTGTTATCCGCTACATTTAAAAGGGTTTGGGATTGAATCATAGCATTTTTTTTATTCTTTTCTTTCACAATGCAAAGGGCGAAGAAAAAAAGAAATATTTTTTGTCCACAAACATAAAACGAAACCTCTTTTTTTTTTGTTTTTGTTTCATTCTTAAGATTCTTTGGGTTGGTTCTAGAGTTATATCGTCTATTCTATCTCCGAAATAATGAATTGAGTTTGTATCGGCATTTTTGATGCTGCTATTGAAATAGCTTTTCTGGCAATATTTTTTGTTACTCCACCCATTTCAAAAAGTATCCGACCGGGTTTAACAACAGCAACCCAATATTCAGGGGATCCTTTTCCTGAACCCATACGTGTTTCTGCGGGTCGTACAGTAACTGGTTTATCGGGAAATATACGTACCCATATTTTTCCTCCACGACGTGCATTTCGTGTCATAGCCCGTCGCCCAGCTTCTATTTGTCTAGATGTGATCCAAGCGGGTTCAAGTGCTTGAAGCGCATATTTACCGAAACAAATATGATTCCCTCGAGAAGCTATTCCCTTCATTCTTCCTCTATGTTGTTTACGGAATCTGGTTCTTTTGGGGTTATAGTTGATGGATTTTTATTTATTCCATCTCTACTACAGAACCGGATGTGAGAGTTTCTTCTCATCCAGCTCCTCGCGAATTACGAATAAAGTATTTACAAAATGAGCGTTTGACTCAAATTGACTAATCATAGTGAAGATATCTAAATCTAAAGATAGATAATAAAAGTCTGGACTGAGAAGTCAAAATAATATTTAGGGATTGAGTGATCTTTTTTTTAAATCTATTTGAATTGAAATGAATTATTCTACAGTTTTTTCATGATTCTCTGAGTCTAACTAATCCTTCATTTTTGACTATTCTTTATATTGCTTTAGATTGAATATTGATTCTTTTGAAAAAAGTTTTCGCGGGCGAATATTGACTCTGTCAATTTAGATTTCATTTCTAGGACGAGTTTGTGACATCTTATAGCTAGTATCTAGAAATAAAATAATTTAACATTGGTTTATTCCGCCATCCCAGCCAGTGAATGTTTAAGATTTTTTTTTATTTCATCTTGAATTGAATTGAATCTTTTGTATTCTCATAAGTTCCGTCGTCCCCATCACTTCTTACTTAATGGTTAGGTCCTAATTTTACAATGGAGCTCAAATAGTAATAATATATGAATAATTTAAGTCTTTAGCCATTTTTCTTAGTCTTTATTGGCTTTAAGCTCTTGACTTTATTTTTTTATTTTATCTCTTCTATATTTAATATCTAATTGAATATTTATATATAGATTATAGATTTCTATAATAAGAGTATATTGTTTTTTATTATTGAATATTCTTAGATTTCTTATTCTATTTTAAATACTTTAATATGCAGAATTTAAGTATTAATGCTTCATTACATTGCCTGTTTTGTTAGACCCTACATATTGGAATTTTCAATCATTGAGCTTCTTTTTCTCCCTTTCTCTCTCCCTTCCAATTATCCACATCTTTTTTATATTTTGCTTCGCAACTTCAATAATATTTGAATACTATTTTTCGTTTATGCAAATAAATGGCAGTTGCTACAACGATATGAGCGGTAATCATATCGTGACTGGTTATTTAGATCCAGATAATGCGAAATTGATGAGTTAATTATTAGGTAATTTCTTCTCGAGTTAGTAGTTGTTACTTTGGGTTTGGTTTCATGCTAACCTTAAAAAATAAACGAGTCGCACACTAAGCATAGCAATGATATTTTTATTAAAAATAAATAAAATTTTTATTCAACCTTATAGAATTCATTATTATCAATTAGAACTGTTCCTGCTCATTACACAAAATAATTTGTGAAATGGCCGCTCGGTATTACAGGTAAAAAGAATGAATAAAATTTTATTGAGCTTGATCAAAAAATATCCAAATTTTTATGCCTAAAACCCCGTAGATAGTTCGAACTGAATAACAACAATAATCAATTTTAGCTTGAATAGTTTGGCGGGGAATTCTTCCTCTCTTATCCATTCCACACGTGCAATTTCCTTTCCGTCAAGGCGTCCCGCAATTTGTACTTGAATTCCTTTTGTATCTGCTTGTTCAGCTAATTCAATAGCTTTTTTCATTGCTTTTCGAAAGGAAACTCTATTCTTTAATTGTCCAGCTATAAATTCGGCAAGAATATTAGGATTTCCATACGGTTTTTCAATTTTTGTGATAGCAATATTAAGTTTTCGGTTTACGAAATTTAATTTTTTTTGTAGAGCTTTTTGTAATTCTTCAACTCCCTGCGGGCTATTTTCAATGAATACTTTGGGAAATCCAATATAGATTATGACTTGGATTAGATCGAGTCTTTTTTTAATACATATACCTGCAATTCCCTCGGTACCCGAGGGTTTGATTCTATTTTTTTGTACATAATTTTTTATAAAAGCTCTTATCTTTTGATCTTCTTGCAGATTTTCAGCATACGTTTTTGGTTGCGAAAACCAAAGTGAATAATGGGCCTGGTTTGTACCAAGTCTGAAACCAAGTGGATTTATTTTTTGTCCCATAAATACCTCCTTTTCTGGATATCAGAATATGCTTTAGTTCTAGAATTTTTTTTCGCTTGTGGTTTTTTTAGCAAACCGAGCTCCACGGATTCAGAATCATTGAATGAAATATCTTTTAGTACAATAGTGATATGGCAGGTCGGTCTTTTTATTGGATAACTACGCCCGCGAGCCCGAGGTTTTAATTTCTTTCCAGCAGTCCCCTCATTAACTTCAGCTTGACTAATAACTAAATTTGCTTTATTTGAAGCCATAGTGTAACTAGCATTTGATGCGGCTGAATAAACCAATTTTAAAATTTGATAACTGGCACGATAGGGCATGAGTTCTAATATAATAAGTGTTTCCTCATAGGAACGCCCACGAATTTGGTCAATAACTCTTCGTGCTTTATTAGCCGACATAGCTATACGTCGACCTAAAACGTATACTTCTGGGGTTTTTTTATTTAGCATCTGGTACATAAAATTTGCCTCCTACTAATGACTTATAAGCATCAAAATATTTTTTAGTATTCACATTACCGATGAGATTTCTTATCATTTTTTGCATGTCCTCGAAAATTTAAAGTAGTTGCAAATTCTCCCAATTTGTGTCCGACCATATCATCCATTATATAAATAGGGAGATGCTCTTTCCCATTATGAATGGCAATAGTATGACCAATCATTATTGGAATAATAGTAGATCCCCGGGACCAAGTTATTATTATTTCTTTTTCTCCCTTTGTGTTAAGTTTCTCAATTTTTTTTAATAATTTATGAGCTACAAAGGGATTTTTTTTTAGTGAACGTGCCACAGTTTACTCCTATAAATTTTATTATTCTTTTATTTTTTTATTTTTCATATAATTGAATGAATAAATTTAATTTGTTCTATTATATTAATTTTTATACTATATATATTACATTAAGTATATTCACTCTATTAACTATATTATACTATTATATTAACTGCGGTGACGAAGAATGAGCTTCTCACTATATTTATTCCTCTTTCTAGTTTTTCTTCCAAGTGCGGGATAACCCCAAGGGGTTGTAGGTTTTTTTCTCCCAATAGGAGCTCTACCCTCACCGCCCCCGTGTGGATGGTCTACGGGGTTCATAACTACTCCTCTGACTACAGGACGCTTACCTAGCCATCGTTTAGCTCCAGCTCTACCCAAATTTTTTTGGTTGAACCCAACATTCCCGACTTGTCCTATTGTTGCGGAGCAGTTTTGGGATATAAAACGGACCTCGCCAGAAGGTAATTTTAATGTAGCTGATTTACCCTCTTTTGCAATCAGTTTCGCCATTGCACCCGCTGCTCGAGCTAATTGTCCACCCCTTCCACGTGTAATTTCTAGGTTATGTATAGTCGTGCCTAAGGGGATTTCGGTCAAAGGTAGGGCATTTCCAATTTTGATTGAAACATTTGTACCAGAAACAATGGTATCTCCAATTTGAGCCCCTCTCGGATGTAAAATATACTTCTTCTCACCAGTCTTATAATGTATTAGACAAATGTTTGCATTTCTATTAGGGTCATATTCTATGGTTATGATTCTACCATATAGGTCTTTTTCATTCCGTCGAAAGTCTATTTTACGGTATAGGCGCTTATGACCCCCCCCCCCTATGCCTTGCTGTAATGATTCCTCTAGCATTACGACCTTTACCACAATGATGCTTTCCAGAGAGCAAATTTTTTCTTCGAGCAAATTTTGGGCTGTTTACGGTTTCGCTCGGGTTATAAGTTTTGTATAATTGTATTCCCATGATATAAATGATTTTTATTTTGGATTTAAAGTTTATTTGTTTGGAGGTGTAAGCCAATGTCTAATGATCTGCGGTAGCCATTGCATTATATGTCCTCTAATAGGGAGGGCCTACCATTATGTGACCCTTTGCCAGAAGCGTAGCACTACTCAAAGTTTATGACGTGGATTTCAAAAAAAGTCTATTTATTATTTTTTAATAACTAAATTCTTTTTTTTAATATTATATCTTTTATTCCATCCCGAATTTTAATTCATTCCGTATTATTTTAAGTTGAAATAAAAATGTTAATTTTGAGTGTTGATAGAATCTATCTATATCTCTAATATAGAGATAGATTCTCTATATGTATCGGTATCCTAGAATTATCTATTATGATATATGAAATGGAAATAGTCAACATGAAATCTATCTAGGAACATATATCTTCTATGATATTTGATATGGACAAATCTATCTAGGAGCATATATCTTATATGATATTTAATATGGATTATGAAGGAAATGCTCAAAGTAGATCTATGCTAATATATATCCTAAAATATAACAAAAATATCATAAAAAGAAGAATTGGAGGGTCAATGAGATTTTGTGTAAATAACTAATAGTGCTAATAGTGTGCATCCAGTAGGAATTGAACCTACGACTTCGCCAATTATGAGTTGGGCGCTTTAACCACTTAGCTATGGATGCTTAAACGAGACCATCATCTATAAAAATTGAAAATTAAAATATAATAATTTATGGTAATTATGAATCTTGGAATTGCAAATAAAAAAAAATGATATTTTATTTTATATGATAGGATATGATAGGAATAGAGAATCTAATATTCAATATCGAATTACAGCAAAAAATATTACATAAAAAAAATGTCGTTTAAATAAAGAATTTCGGAAATCTGAAATACTAAACAAAGACTCTATTTATCATTTCTATTTTTACATTAAATAGTCAATAGTCAATTATATAAAACAAGTACTTAAAATTTTTGCATAAAATCTTATGGAGGTATGAGATGGAACCTAAGCAAAACAAGTTCTGGATTCTAGAATTACGAGAGATACTGAGAGAGATTAAAAAATCAAAATATTTTTAGATTCATGGACCCAATTGAATTCAATCGGATCTTCCATTCATATTTTAGTCTCCCAAGAACGGTTTTTAAAACTGTTTGACCCACAAATTTGGAGTCTTGTACTTTCACCTAATTTGCAGGGTTCAAAAAGCAATCGATCGGTCAAGATTAAGGGAGTTTTACTAGTTTTCGTTGGCGTTGTTATCTTTATTTATCGTATTAGCAATCAAAATATGGTTGAAAGAAAAAATCTCTATTTAAAAAGACTTTTTCCTATACCGATGAATTGCAGTGAATCCATAACTGATCAAGATAGTGGTTATTCTACTCTAAATCGATTGAGTATTTTACTCCTTTCTTTTCCAAAAGGCAAAAATCAAATTGATATTGATTTACTGAATACGAACTATAATACTCGGGTTTTGCCAATAAAAAAAAAACCTAACATGCCTCAATCAAAGTCAGATTCGACGCAGGGGAAAAACTTTATTAGAGAAATTATTAGACGAACTAGAACGGAATTTAGAGAAATTCCAATGAAACTTCTTGGTTTAAATCTGGTATTATTAAAAGATAAAAAATCGCTGGAGTTTCCTTATGATTCCACAAGATCTAGTTCCTTACAAGTAAAAGATTCCGGCCAACCGAAAGGATCCTTGGATAGAAATTTTTTGGATTCCATTAGAAATGAGGATTCCGAATATTCCAAATTAATGAATAAAAGAAAATTT